AAAAGCGAGGACACTAGGGGTAGCCATGACGACGACAGTGTAGTAGTGCAAGCAGTAGGGGAAGGGCACGCAGTAACAGTGGTGCTGTGCTCACCAGGCACGGCAGGTCGGGCGGCTCGGCAGTAGGGCGGCCCGGCGGCTGGGCGGCTCGGCGGCTCGGCTGCTGGGCGGCTCGGCTCCCGGGCAGCTCGGCGGCAGGGCGGCTCGGCGGCAGGGCGGCTCGGCGGCTCGGCTCCCGGGCGGCTCGGCTCCCGGGCGGCTCGGCGGCAGGGCGGCTCGGCGGCAGGGCGGCTCGGCTCCCGGGCGGCTCGGCTGCTGGGCGGCTCGGCGGCAGGGCGGCTCGGCGGTCGTAGGCGGCGGGGCCGGTGAGGATAGGCGGCGGGGCCGGTACCGTAGGCGGCGGGGCCGCGAAGTGGGGCGGCGGGGCCGCGTAGGTGAGGGCGGCGGGGCCGCGAAGTGAGGGCGGCGGGGCCGCGACGTGAGGGCGGCGGGGCCGCGAAGGTGAGGGCGGCGGGGCCGCGTAGGCAAGGGCGGCGAGGCCGCGACGTGAGGGCGGCGGGGCCGCGACGTGAGGGCGGCGGGGCCGCGTAGGTGAGGGCGGCGGGGCCGCGTAGGCAAGGGCGGTGGGGCCGCGACGTGAGGGCGGCGGGGCCGCGACGTGAGGGCGGCGGGGCCGCGACGTGAGGGCGGCGGGGCCGCGACGTGAGGGCGGCGGGGCCGCGTAGGCAAGGGCGACGGGGCCGCGACGTGAGGGCGGCGGGGCCGCGACGTGAGGGCGGCGGGGCCGCGACTTAAGGGCGGCGGGGCCGCGTAGGTGAGGGCGGCGGGGCCGCGACGTGAGGGCGGCTGGGCCGCGACGTAAGGGCGGCGGGCTCGCGTAGGTAAGGGCGGCACGGAGGGTCGCTAAAAAAAAGGAAAGCGCGCCTCGGGGCGCGCTTCGGTGGGCCCTAGAAACAGTCCCTAGGAGGGGACCTGCTCTGATACCATGTGGAAAGGAGAACGCGAATGAATGAACTATGAATGAAGTGAGTACATATAGGAAACCCTAATTGGGTTGTACCCCCTATGGGATACCCCACTATAGCCTACACAACAGCATAAGCTATATAATGTTCTGACAACGTCGACGCAGTTCCCCCTCCCCGGGCGAACGTAGTCGATGGCATGTGGATCTTCAAGGTGAAGCGACCGCATGGATCACTGCCTATCTTCAAGGCGCGCTACGTGCCGCCTAGCTTCAGTCAGTGTGAGGGAGTAGACTTATTTCATACATTCTCCCCCACATTGTCAGTTTTGTCATTTTACATTCACTTTGGCAGGTATTACTAATCATTTCCAGTGTGCATCACTCTGCGATCAACCCTGAGCAAGATCCTGACTAAGTTGCGGACAGTCACTCTACAACGGGTAGACTGGACTACGTGGGAGGTCACGGGTGGTACGAGTGATCGTAGCGTTCCTTGTGTTCTCTAGTACTTGCTTGTTCACGGGGCAAAATGGCAAGAGTTTTACTAAGAAAAGTTGAGAACAATGATACAATGGAAACTACAACATCTAGGACCTAGCAAGCCTAGCAAGAAGGCAGGTCGACCTCCAGCGTAGCACGAGGGCGGCCTGCCAGCCAGGCTTGTCAAAGTGTTTGGGGCCAGAACTTGGAACCCGTATTTTCACGAGCCTAGGCCAAAGCCAAAACTTGAAATCCGGGCTTTGGAAGAGAGTGTACTTGAGGTTAACGAAACAAAAACTTAAGTTCATGTGTTAGCCTAATGGGATCGAGCGTACACTCGCCTGCTAAGGGAAAGAGTGTTTGTTCGCCACTACTCCCACACCACACCTGGCACTTTCTCGTGAATATGATGAGGGGGGTCGGGGCGGGGGGCAGGCAGGGGGTGGGGGGTCCTTCAAATCACAATCAATACTTGAATTCAGGGGAAGACCCAAATGGAGCCCTTAACCATCACGGGCTCCATCCGAATCAAGAGCTTTAAATGGTCGAGGTGCTCTTAATCTGCCCCGGAATGTTCAGGGCATTAAGGGCAAATGCCCTTACTTCGTCAGCCCTGCTGCCAGCACAGCGAATCGTCGGCGTGCCAGCGCAGCTGGGAGGCGGCTTGCCAACACTGCAAGGCGGAGAACTGCCTGCGCTATACCATAGCGGCTTGCCAAAGCTGCAGCAAGGCGGCGTGCCAGCGTTGCAACCGCATGTGACAATAGCGCATATGCGCGCACCCACTTCGCAGGTGCTAGTAGACGGTTGAGCACGTTGTGCACCGTCACGCACACGGCGCAGGTGCCAAGTCGGCCACGTGCCGACAGTTGCGCCAAATGCATCACGTAGACCACGTGACGCTGCACGTACATGGACGACGTTCGCACACCCCTGCAGAACATCGTCGACCAGGTAACTCAGCTGATCGGGTAAGGCCAGTCGGCGCCCACAAGTCGACGCCCTCCGTTGTCGACCGTCGAAGCCTAATGCTGCCCGCATGTCGACGAACATATTCGTCAACCGCCCAAGTCGAAGCCGTCCGCGGACTTCCCTCGTCGGAGACTCTGCAGTGATCCCGCGGAAGTCGACCAAGTCTGTCGACTTCCCTCCACTTGTCGGCGTTGACCACTGACAGCAGCTGAATGTGAAGCCAGCTTCGCCCAAGCGATGGCGGGGCCATAATTCTGTCGACATAATCCCCTCGTGGGACTGTGCCAACCATAACCTCGCTGCCAGCATTACATGGTCTAGCTCGCACCATCACATTATCACCTTTCTCTATAAGTTTTTGCTCATGCCTTCGCTCACGTTTGTTAGGCAATCCTAGCTTCACTCATCCACATTTTTGTTTAGTAGAACGAACCTGTGAAGTAGAACGAACTAGTGATAATATGGTGTATTTTGATGCTCTTCAATTCACGGACCAGCGCATCCAACCACACTGCCCTGTTGGCATCATGCGCAAGGCCTTGGCTAGGATCAGGACAAATTCCGGCTGTTGGTCAGGTGGGTGTTCTGGTTGTTCAATTTGGTGTGATTCACAACACAAGCGAGGCCAATTCAGCAAATGCGCGTCTTTTGATGCGAGGTTTCGATTCCGTACCCACATTGGAAAGCTGGGAGTCTTGGGACGAGAGGATTCGGCGTTTCGCAGAATCACTTGCACTGTGCTGTCAGCCAGGTGTACGTGACCCACCGCAGGTTGCCCACGGTTACCAGCAATTTCGGGCAGGGACACAAATATTTGTTAGATAAGCGATTCAGCATCTTGATCGATTGCTCAACCTCTAAGCCAAAGGATAAGCCAATTCGTCTATCTGTACCATGCCTAGAATTCGACTTCGCAAATGTATAACATTTTATTTGCCCTGAGCTTCCTGAAAGAGAGAAGTTTGACTGGATGGCTGTTACAGTGCATGCCCCTGAGATCCGACCTGTCCTCCCACAATGCCCACATTGGCTACGCTCATTGGTTGTCATACTCCGCCGCTAAGGAAAACACCAACCTCCACTATTCTTCCTGCCCCGAAAGGACTTCCGCAAGCCAGCCATCTCCAGGTGCGTTCCTACCTTTCCCCATCCCAACAAAATTTTCCAACTAATTACCCATTCAATTCTTTAGCGCCCCCGTACGTTAGTTAAATGACGGAGATGTATATGAAACCCCCCTGGCATACTCTCGTTGTGGAAATAAGCACAAAACACCAATTCAGCATGTGGACACCTCGAACCAGCTCACGTCTAAGCATTTTTCTTATCGTATCAAAAGTAACGAATGCTCACATTCCTCCGTTCACCCCACGCCCCTTCCCGTTTAGCTGGTGCACAACATAGTCTTCTCTCGTCCCTGACGCCTGACCTGAACCCCCACCAGAACAGACCAGAGTCTTCCCCCAGAGTCCTTTCCCCATACCTCTTTTGCCCAAGTCCCCGACCACCACAGCAACAGCACTTGCGCCCCTCACGTCAAACCAACCACCAAAACCACAACCATGCATCATCGCAGTCCATTCTGGCTGGGAGCTACAGAGCTACAGTACAGCGACAGCGATTTTTTTCTTCAGCACCGCCCAGTGCGTCCACCATTCCATTCCAATTTCCGTTTCGTCAGTTCGTCCCTCCTACGTAGTCGTCTCCCTCCATCCCATTCCCCCCCCCCACCCAACCCCAACCCAGCCTCTTTCTTGCCTGAGAGAGGTTGTCGAACGCGTTTCCTTTGCCTGCTACTCACGAAAAGTCATCCACGCATCACTCTCTCTGGACATTCCCCCCATCTCACCCTCAACCCCAACTTCTCACCCCACACCTTCCACATTCACGTCCTCCCTATTCATACCACTCTTTCCGACTCTCGTAGTACCCTGAGCCTCCCTATCACGAAATAATCCTCCGCTACACATTTTCAACCCGCGTCGCCGCTTTCACCTGATCCTTCTTCGCGCGAGCGAGCGAGCGAGCGAGCGAACGAGCAATGACGCGACTGCGGCGGCAGCAGCTTCTGCTGCTGCCACTGGTACTCTGCGTCGCTGTGCTTCTCGCCAGCGTCCACGTGCCAGTGGCCGATGCCGGCGCTCTTAACCCTGGTTCGTAGCCGCCCTTCAATGCTCTCTCCGCTCACCGCGCTTCGCGCCCTTCCTCCGCTACTTGGCCGAGGACCAGCCTCAAACCTCCGCGTCCTTAAAAGCTCTCATTCCCCTCCCGCGTCCCTCCACTCCCGGTCTTCCGCTCCCTTCAACCCCGTCGCTATCGGTCATCTCCAGTCGTCTCAAGCTGTCCCTAGAGTCGACTCAAAAGTCATGGCTCCTGTTTGGTACTCTCTCGGACTTCCACCCCGTCTTTATCAGCCATCTCCAGTCGTATTCAGATGCCCTCCTTCCTTGCTTCTTTTTCGCCTTTCTCTCTCCCTCCGCCCTCTGTCATCGCTCGCGCGCTCCGCGCCAATGATTTTATAGTCTGTCCATAGCCTCCTCTCCTCCCGCGCCTCGCCTCGCCTCGCCTCGCGACATCCCCAATGGGCAAAGCGTGTGCGCTAGGTAGTCGACGACGGGCCTGCCTGTGCCTGTGCTAGGTAGTCGTTGCCTTCCAGGCCAGTGCTGGTCTTTTCCGGCTGCATGCTGCAGAATTCGCCTCCCTGTCTCAGAACTCTTAGCGCCGTAACTTGCTCGCATGCCGTGAGCCGCTCTCTCGTCCTCCGCTGCGGCCCGTGCGTCGGGGGTCGCCGCATGTTTTCGGTGAATCTTTCCCGCGTTTCTCGGCGTGCTTCCCGCGCGTCGCGACTGAATGGGTTCGCGACCCAGCAACAGTCCTCGCGCTCTTTTGCTGTCATCTCGTTCGACGCGCGCCGACTGCGCGTAACCGCCGACTCGGGCTTGGTCTGTTTCTCTTGATGCTCCCCCTCCACCTCATCCCCGCCCTCCCAAACCTTTCTCCGCCTTCTAACACCTCCCCCGCAACTTCCCCCTGCCGTCCCCGCCATCCGTGCTCCCCTTCCCCCCCCGCCGCGTTTCCCCCCCCTCCCCCTCTTTTCACCGCCAGGCGGAGTCATCAAGGTCCCTACGCGCGGCCCGTGCTCCGCGACGCCCGTGCCGCTGACCGTCTCGACCGCCGCGGATTTCGCGCAGCGGCTGCAGTACACGCCGAACACGACGGTCGTCCTGTACCTAACGGGCAACATCACCATCTCAACCTTGATCAACTTCAACGCGTCGTATTCCTGCACCATCATCCGCCCGCAACCGGGGCTCACGTCCATGCCGTGGATCTGGCTCGATAACATCAACTCGCCCGCGGTGCGGGTCGAGAGCGCGACGAACATGCAGTTTGTCGGGATCGGGATTGGTTTCCCGTGGACGAACACCGGCATGGTGGCGTGCGGCGGCTTGCCCGAGTTCCCCTCGCGCTGGACGTGCCCCGTGCTGCACATCTACCGCGGATGGGCCGTGACTTTCTCTAATGTGAGCCGCGCGGGGAGAACGGAAGAGGGTGATGAGGAGGGGGAAGAGGGGGAATGGGGGGGGAGTGGGGGAAGGGGGGAGGGGGAATGGGGGGGAGTGGGGGAAGGGGGAGGGGGAATGGGGGGGAGTGGGGGAAGGGGGAGGGGGAATGGGGGGGAGTGGGGGAAGGGGGAGGGGGAATGGGGGGGAGTGGGCGAAGGGGGAGGGGGAATGGGGGGGAGTGGGCGAAGGGGGAGGGGGAATGGGGGATGGGGGAGGGGGAATGGGGGGGAGTGGGGGAAGGGGAGGGGGAATGGGGGGGAGTGGGGGAAGGGGGAGGGGGAATGGGGGGGAGTGGGGGAAGGGGGAGGGGGAATGGGGGGGAGTGGGGGAAGGGGGAGGGAGAATGGGGGGAGTGGGGGAAGGGGGAGGGGGAATGGGGGGGAGTGGGGGAAGGGGGAGGGGGAATGGGGGGGAGTGGGGGAAGGGGGAGGGGGAATGGGGGGGAGTGGGGGAAGGGGGAGGGGGAATGGGGGGGAGTGGGCGAAGGGGGAGGGGGAATGGGGGAAGGGGGAGGGGGAATGGGGGGGAGTGGGGGAAGGGGGAGGGGGAATGGGGGGGAGTGGGGGAAGGGGGAGGGGGAATGGGGGGGAGTGGGGGAAGGGGGAGGGGGAATGGGGGGGAGTGGGGGAAGGGGGAGGGAGAATGGGGGGGAGTGGGGGAAGGGGGAGGGGGAATGGGGGGAGTGGGGGAAGGGGGAGGGTGAATGGGGGGGAGTGGGGGAAGGGGGAGGGGGAATGGGGGGGAGTGGGGGAAGGGGGAGGGGGAAGGGGAAAAAGGGGGAAAAAGGGGTAGGGGGAAATAGCGCGCGCAATCCCGCGTCAGTCTGCGGGTTCGTCCCGTTTCCTACGCGCTTGCTTGTTTGTTCCCTTTGCGCGTGTGAGCCGGTGCGCCACGCATGCTGCTACTGCCACGTGTTTATCGACGTTTTCCGAGCGCGCATTCTCTTTCGCCCGTACCCTTGCGCGCATGCAGGCAGCTTTTCAGCCATCCGCCAATCATGCCTTGCTCCCCGTCGCTTCCCCGTCCCTTCCCCTCCTTTGCCTATCGCTTCCCCGTCGCTTCCCCGTCGCTCCCCCGTCGCTTTCCCGTCGCTTTTCCGTCGCTTCCCCGCCTCTCCCGTTTTCTCCTCCTCCCCGGACCTTTCTCACCCCTTCCGCTTTCGCCGCTTCTCCTCCCCTTCCCCCTTCCCCTTCCCCCCCCACCCACCTCCCCGCCTCTCCCCCCGCGGTCCGCACATCCGCAGGGACAAGTGCAGGGGCGCACGGACGTGTACCGGTCGGGCGCGGTGGAGTTCTCCTATCAGAAGCACGTGGTGGACTATCTGGACGGCACGCTCTTCAGCTACTCGTGCATCCGCTTCGCCGTCAACGGCGACCCCGTTAATCTCATCCGCTCGCTCAACAAAGTCGTCAACAGCGAGATCCGCGGTGCGCCTCTCCGCCTCCCCGCCTCCCCGCCTCTCCGCCTCTCCGCCTCCCCGCCTCACCGCCTCCCCGCCTCTCCGCCTCCCTGCCTGCCTGCGTCCGCGCCTCCCTGCCCATTTGTCTGTTCCCCACTCCCCTTCCCATGCTTCCCTCTCCCCGCGTACCCCTCGTCGTCCCTCGTAGCCTCCATCGCCTTCTCTCCTGCTTCCGCCGTGCTCCCCGGTCGTCCTCCCTGGTTATGATGCACGAACGCGCGTGGACGTCGATCATGATGTACGCGGGGACCGTGGGCACGGTCGTCGCCCTCATCGCCGCCTCTCCCTCCTCCTCTCCCCTATGTTTTCCCGATCCCTTCCCCATTCCCCCCCGCCCTCTGCCCCCCCCCCCCCACCCCCCCCCTCCCCGCACAGGCGCGTGGACGTCGATCATGATGTACGCGGGCACCGTGGGCACGATCGTGGCGAACAACTACATCACGGACTTTCAGTTCTGCGGCGTGCAGTGCGGTATGGGCGACAGCAACGTCGCGGATTGCATGCTCAACACCATCCAGGACAACTACATCACCCCCGGCCCGGCTTACCCCACCAACAACGGCGACGGCGCCGGGATTTACTACGATCTGCATTGGTACAACCCCGGTGAGTCCACCACGGAGCGGATTTTGAGTCGAGTCCACTCAAGAGTCATCCTGGTGAGTCGACGGAGCCCGCGGCAGCGGGAGTGTTGTGCGTGCCTGCGGGAATGGGTGACCAGCAATGTCGCGGACGGCGCCGTGCTCACCGCCCTCCCCCCCCCCCCCACTCTTACCCCCCCCCCCCTTCCCACTCTCCTCCCCCTCTTCCTGCGCTTTTCGCATTTTCCGCCCTGCGCTCTCCGCCCTCCCCGCACTCCCCGCTCGATCTGACCGCACCCATCCCCCACCCCCGTCCCGTTCTCCCTTTCCCGTCTTCCCCGTCTCCCTCCCCTTCCCTTGGCGCTCGGTGCAGGCAATCTGGACACGTGCAATTACATTGTGGGCACGACGCACTGCCACTACCTGGACTTCACGACCTCGGGGCTCACCATTGATGGCGCCGTGTGCATCCGCAACCACGACGGCATCAAGATCAACACCGGCCACGCGTACGGGCTGCCTTCCTACTATGCTTCTTTCTCTCCCTCCCTCTCTTTCCCTCTCTCCCTCCCTCCGTCTCTCGCTCCCTCCCTCCCTCGCTCCCTCCCTCCCTCCCTCCCTCCCTCCCTCCCTCCCTCCCTCCCTCCCTCCCTCCCTCTCTCTCTCTCTCCCTCTCTCTCTCTCTCTCTCTCTCTCTCTCTCGCTCTGCATCTTGGCCTATAGAATTCCGCCCTCCTCTACGCCCCTTTTCCTGCACTCGCCTCACCCAACCCACCAACAACCCACTCATCCTCCTACCCCATGTTCTGCTGCTCTCCTTCTCCCTGCTTCCCCCTGTTGCCTTACCCTCCCACTCTCTACCCCTCCCCCTTCTTGCCCTCGCCCTCTCTGCCCTCGCATCGCGGCCCGCGTTCTCCCGGCGAGCAGCAACAAGGTGCAGAGCTACCTGGTGGTGAACCCGCAGTGGCAGTCAGGCATCATGAGCTGTCAGAACTGGTGCGACAACAACTGCAACTCATGGGCCGGCCGCGGTCTCGGCTACAAGTGGTACAGCGCCTACGTCGCCCGCTTTGACACTCCCGGCTGGCGCAAGGTGTGTGTGTGTGTGTGTGGGGGGTTGGTGGTGGCTACGGGGCCATATGGGAGAGTGTGTTTGGGTTGGTTATGGGGGTGAGAATGTGTCACCGGGTCTTTGAGCGAGCACTGCTGGTATTGGCTCCGTATCTCTGCTTGACTTGCTCGATTTTGTCTTTCGCAGTTTGGGTAGGTAACTGGTCGTGTTCCTTCTCTACTCTCCGACCTACACTTCCTCCCAACTCCTCAATGTTCTCCCCGCTTACCTGCACCTCCCCTCGCTTTTCCCCCCTCACTAAGTTTTTTTTTGCGACTCACTCTTCTCCCCGTTTTATTTCCATTGCCCCCTCCGTTCCCCGGTCCTCTGCCCCCCTCTCCGCCCTCTTCCCCCTCTCCTCCCCTCCCCTCGTCAGAACTGGCCCTACCTTTCGGGCCTGTGCAACCGCACTGAATGGATGGGACAGCCGTGCAACCCCGACCCTCCGATCGAGCTTCCCAAGAACTGGACGGGCTACTGCTCGCAATTCCTCTCCTACTCCACCGTGGGCAAGCAGCGCTCCGCGGATTACAATTACACTGGCAAGTGCAGCGGCGTGCCTGGGCTGAACCACGTCGAGCTGACCATTATCAATGGCACCAACGGCCGCTGGAATCCGTATTATATCAACTGCGATGCGCTCCCGTCTGTGGTGCCCACCAACAACATCACCTCGGTGTCGTTTAACTACCCGCCGACCTACTTCAAGTTTGATAATTTCACCGGGGATGATTTCGGCGTGTCAGATCTCTCGGATTTGATGTATCAGAAGTATCCGAATTTCATGTCGTGTAGCCGTCGCAGGGTGGGGCCTCAGAAACAGGTGCGCGCTATGGCTGCTGCTCTCTCCACGGCAGAGTCTAACTTCGGCAAGGATGTCGGCGATTGGTGGAAGAACACCTTTGATATTATCCCGGAAGATTCGGAGCTGTCTCAGATTCTCTACCACAAGAAGTTCAACGGGAAGATTCGAGACCTCAACGCGCCGGTCCCCGTCGCTACTCCCACCGGGTCTCCCAAGAAGAAGCCCGGGAAGAAGCCAGGCTGGAAGGGACCGAGGGTGTCTAACTGGTGGAGCGGAAACTAGGAATCTCAACAGCAGCGGTTGCGGGCGGGGAGGAATGATTACTCTCGGCTGACTTGAGAGGGTGGGGCAATGGCGCAGTGTACAGCTCAGCTGTAGGGAGGGTCACCTTGGGTGGCCTTCTGTGGGAAGGGGAGGGTCTGCTTGGGAGGGTGTGCTTGGGTTTGCGACGCGGATGTGGTTTGCGGAAATGGTGGTAGCTTACTGTATGTGTGTGTGTGTGCCTGGGCTTGCTGCATTTGTTCCTTCATTCTTGCTTGCCCTCCATTATTGGTGGGTGGTTTTGCGTGAAGTGTTCTTGAACTGAGATCGCAGATTGTATAATAATAGCTCATTTGCTTGGATGTCGGGAATGAATGGCTAGCATGCCACAATGTTTGCTGTGTTGGGGGGTCAGTACTGTTCGATGGAGTGTTTCTGTTTTACTCTAATGCTGCTTCAAAGCCTGGTTTATTGCTGATACCAATTGGTAGGACTGAATAGAGTACAGCAATTAATTAGTGGTGAGTGTCAATGATTGTACACTGACTCATTAGTCACAGGTACCATTAGTTGCATGTTCATGCACTCACAACACTTCTCCACCTGCCAAACCACACAGCATCCAGAATAATCCAATCCAACACACAGCTACCCACTTGAGCAGTTATCGCCTCACATAATCCAATCCAACAGATTGACGGGCGCGGAATCGATCAAAATACCTGAACGTTTGTTGTACCGGACCAGAACCCCCACATGCTTGTTCACATGCTCTCACATCCTCATTCACCATGCTCACCATACGTGCATCACTCACCAGCCCCCTCTCTCCTCCCACTACCCTCCTCCGCAGCACCAGCTGCCCCACTCGCCCCACCTTCACCTCCTGATGTCTCTCTGTCGATTGCGTCTTCCCTAAACGCCTCTTCCCCTTCCCCTTCCCTTGCTGCTGCTGCTACTGCTGCTCCTTCCCCTTGCTCTGCTTCTTCAATGCCTGAGCTAGCAGCATCGGACGCACTAGAACCAGAAGCAATGGCCCCGGTAGCAGGGACAGCATCAGCTGAGGTTGAAACAGCACCCGGTGCCGGAGCAGCAGCAGCAGCTGAGCTCCTGCTGTCAGTGCCGATGCTGGTGGTGCCGGGAGCGGTTTCGACAGTAGAAGGGCCAGCAGGAGCAGTAGAGGCAGGAGCAGCAGAGGCAGGAGCAGCAGAGGCAGGAGCAGCAGAGGCAGGAGCAGCAGAGGCAGGAGCAGCAGGAGCACTGGCACTTGCGGTGGTGGGACGGGCAGGGTTAGAGGGGAAGGAGAGCGGGAGGGATACCCCTGCTCCGTGCACCACTCGACTAAGAGCATAGTGCCTGGAAGGACGTGCGGGCAGGTGTAGAGGGATAGGGAGAGGTGGGGAGAGGTGGGACGAGGTGGGGGAGGTGGGTAAGTTGGGGAAGAGGTGGTGGGAGATGGGAAGGATGTGCAGAGAGGTATCCAGGCAAGAAGAGAGAAGGTGGAAAGCAGAGAGGTGTGCTGCATTGGGTTAATAGGATGATGACGACGACGACGACGACGACGACGACGACGACGACGACGACGACGACGACGACGACGACGACGACGACGACGACGACGACGACGACGACGACGACGACGACGACGACGACGACGACGACGACGACGACGACGACGATGATGATGATGATGATGATGATGATGATGTGGAGCGATGTGATGAGGGGGAGATGGGCGGACAGGGATGAGAGGGATGACGGTGAGCAGAGAAGGCGGGAGGCGAGGAGGGACGGGAGGAGGGACGGGAGGAGGGACGGGAGGAGGGACGGGAGGAGGGACGGGAGGAGGGACGGGAGGAGGGACGGAGGTTGTGACGGGAGGAGCGATGGTAGGAGCGTACCTGAGTGCGAGGTCCTTGTACTCTGCAAGGAGGTCTGAGACGTCAGCAATGGAGAGGTCAGCAGCCGAGGCGTAGAGGAAGCGGAAGGAACGAGCGAGCTCCCCACTGGCGTCTGCCCTCACCAGCTCCCTCAACACGCCCTTGTCCCTTGAGATCTCCGATACCGCCACCACCCGTTCCGTCTCCCTCTCCCTCTGCTCCTTGCTGCCGCTGCTGCTGCTACCAGCAGCACTGCTGCTGCTACCAGCAGCACTGCTGCTGGGACTGGGAGCAGCGGCAGCACCGGCAGCCGTGCTGTCACCTGCTGCTCCTGCTGCCTCTGCTCCTCCTGCTACTCTTCCCTCCTTTCCCCCGCTTCCAATCTCCTCTCCCGAACCCCCTCCTCCGCCCTCTCCCCGCCCTCCTCCCTCTCCTCCACTCCCCTTCCCCCCTCCCTCTCCCCCTTCCCCCCCTTCTCCCCCCACGCCAGTCGCCTTATACCCAGCCTCTAACAGCCTCTGAAACTCCTGGTCGCTGAGAGAGAGCTGGGCGGCCGAGAGGGATTCGAGGAAGGTGGCGGCAGAGGCGAGGTTGGTGAAGAAGTAAGCGGCTTCAGAGACAAGGCGGTCAGAGTGGCGGTAGCGCTGGATGTAGAGAATGCTGCTCAGCAGCTGGGGGGGGTTCGCCTGTGGGGGGGGGATGGGGGAATGGAATGGGGGAGTTGGGGGAAAGGGGAGGAAGAGGGGGGTGTTGGAAGAAGAGAGGAGAAGAGTGCAAGAAGACAGGGGCGAGGGAGGGCAGGGACGAGTGAGAGGCAGGAGGGAAGGGAAGAGATGGGAGGGAGGAGCAAAGAGAAGATGAGGGAGAGTGAAAAAGAAGGGCGAGGGGGAGCAAGGATATGTGTGAGGGACCTGGCTTCTCCCAAGGGAGAAGCCTGGCTGTTGTGGAGCAAAACTGTTATGTCAGAGAAGGTACACTGTTTGCAGAGAGCAAGTGTGGGTGAGACGCAGCAAAGAGACGCCCCGAAGCTTCCCCCCCACTTTCACGCCCCCCCCCCCCACTTTCATCCCCCCCCACTTTCATTCCCCCCCCCACCTTTCATCTCCCCCCCACCTTTCATCTCCCCCCCCCACCTTTCATCTCCCCCCCACCTTTCATCCCCCCACCCCCATCATCTCCCCGCCCCTCACCTTCACCACCTTTCATCCCCCCCCCTCCACTCACTTCACACCCCTCCCCCTCTCCCCCCACCCCTTCATCCCCCCCCCCTCACCTTCACCACCACGTAGATCAGCACGGGCAGGAAGTCATACGCTGTATTTGAGGCAACTCGAGACTTTGCGACGCATAATAAATCCTCCCCACTCATTCCTCCCCCCCAAGCTCACCTTCACCACCACGTAGATGAGCACGGGCAGGAAATCATCAGCTCCTGGCGGCTTCCCTCCCTTTCCCCCGGCCTCCCCTGCGCCCGCGCCTGTGGCAGCAGCAGCAGCGGCAGCAGCAGTGATGGAGGCGTTGAGGAGAATGTTGTTGATGACGCGGCAGCAGTTGAGCACACACACCAGCTTGTCCCGTGGGGCCTTGAACGACCCCAGCTTCTGCAGGTCCTTCTCTGCTAGCTGGTGAAGGGGAAAGGGGAGGTGGGGGGTGCGGGTGGGGTGGAGGAAGAGGGCAACGTGGAAGGTCGGTATGGGAGGATGAGAAACAGGCAGATGAGCACGCACACCCGCTTGTCCCTCGGCGCCTGGAACGACCCCAGCTTCTGCAGGTCCTTTTCTGCTAGCTGGTGAAAGGGGAGACTTTTGAGTCGACTCAAGGTGACTTTTGAGTTGACTCAAAAAGTCACCTTCTGCAGGTCCTTTTCTGCTAGCTGGTGAAAGGGGAGACGGAAGGGGTTGTTGGGTTGGGTTGGGGACGAGGGGGGGCAGGGGGAGCGGGGGAAGCACGATCAAAGGGTGGAAGGGAGATAAGGAAGATGTTGAGATGAGATGAGATGAGCCAGGGGGGATGAGAAGGGGAAGGTTGCTCATTGTTTGTGTGCTCACGTCACCACCAATTCAATCCCTCCCTCTCTACCACCAACTCACTGCCCCCTGCCCCCTGCTCCCTGCCCACTGCCCCAGTCATGCCAAACACAGGGAGACACAGACGGAGCACGAGCGCACCAGGAGCGAGGCGTCGTTGAGCAGCGAGTCGGGCACGTCGAGGTGGCGCGGGAGGGGAGAGAGAGGGATGGTCCACACATACACACATACACACATACACACATACACACATACACACAGACACACACACACACTCAGACACACACACGCGCTTACCAGCAGGGAAGCATCGTTGAGCAGCGAGTCGGGCACGTCGAGGTGGCGCGGCTGCAGGAAGGTCTGCAGCGCCGCTATGCGCGTGGTCAGCCGCCGGTCCCTCTCCACCTCCTCCTCCTCGGGGGCGAACGCGCGTGGGAAGAGCTTCGTCATTAGGTACTTCTCTAGGGCCTGGGAGGGGGGAAGGGGGCGGGAGCGAGGTGGGAGGGGGGAAGGCGGCGGGGGCGAGGGGGGAGGGGGGAAGGGGGCGGGGGCGAGGGGGGAGGGGGGGAAGAAGGGGAGGGGTGGGGGGCGCTGATTAAGGGGGGAAGAGGCACCAGCCGGTCCCGGTCCACCTCCTCCTCGGGTGCAAACGCGCGCGGGAAGAGCTTCGTTATTAGGTACTTCCCTAGGGCCTGTTGATGGATGGGGAGGGGGGGCACGAGAGTGGGGAAAGACGGGGAGGAGGGAGGGAGGTGATTAGAGGGGGGAGTGGCACCAGGCGGTCCCTGTCCCTCTCCACCTCCTCCTCCTCCTCCTCGGGGGCGAACGCGCGCGGGAACAGCTTCGTCATTAGGTACTTCTCTAGTGCCTGGGGAGGTGGGGAGAGGGGGAAGGGGGAGAGGGGGATGGCGGAGAGGGGGAAGGGGGAGAGGGGAGGGAGGAGGGCGCTAATTTAAAAGAGGAGAGGCACCAGGCGGTTCCTCTCCTCCTCCTCCTCCTCCTCCTCCTCCTCCTCCTCCTTCTTGGTTCGGTGGCAAACACGCCGGGGGGGGGGGGGAGGAGAGCTTTGTGATCAGGTATTTCTCAAGGGCCTGGGAGGAGGGGAGTGGGAAGGGGACGAGTGGGGAAAGAGGGGAAGAGGAGGGGGGAGGGGGGCTGACCAAGACTGATGGATGGAGCACTTCTCTAGGGTTGGGACACCTGCAGGCTGCAGCAGCTTCGTCATCAGGTACCTCGCTAGGGCCTGGGGAGGGAGGGGAGAAGGAGGAACGAGGGGAAGAAGAGAGAGGGGTTAAATAAAGGTGAAGGGGCACCAGCAAAGGAACTTCGCCCTCTGGACGCCATATCGCAAGCCTGGGAGTCTGGAGTTGAGATTTGGTTCTTCTTCAGTTCAGCCTGGGAGGGGATTTGACTTTGCCTTTGCCTTTGCCTTTGCCTTTGCCTTTGCCTATGCCTTTGCACCACCTCCCCCTCCTCGGAGGTAAACAGGGCTGGTTTTATGTCCATTGGGACGGGGGAGAAGGAGGAGAGAAACCACCCCTACTCCCACCAACCCACACCCACACCCACACTTGGACCCACACACAAGTACAAATACACACATGCACAAGCAGTTTCACCCGTCCCACCCGTTTCCACCCAACCCTTCACCACTCCTCTCGTTGAAAACACAACCTCCCAACCCCTTAGTCCGCCCACCTCCTCCGCCCACCAAACCACCTCACTTGCTTTCCCCCATATTCCCCTCGTGCGCCCACTCAAGCGCCTCCCCATGTGCCCCTTCGCCCCTGCTCTCTGACCCACAGCACCTCCCCCACCCTCTCCCTTCTCCTCCTACCCTTCCCCCCCTCCCCCTCTTCATCCCTTCCCCCTTCCCCCTCCCCCTCTTCATCCCTTCTCCTTTTCCCCTCCCCCTTCCTGCTTCGACAGCTCCCCCTTTCCTCCTTCGTCACACACCCCTCCCCCGTCAACCCTCCGCCTCCCATCCACTCCGCCCTCCTCTCTCCCCCCTTCCCCTCCCCCCCCCCCTCTTTTCCGCACTCTCCCCCCGCGCACCTCCCCCGAGCACTCGAGTTCGTCGGGAGAGGCGGCCTGCCAGAGCGGGTGGGCGCGGAAGGCGGCCTCGATGCTGCGGTAGAACGCCTGCACGCTCGCACTGTCCCGCTCCGGCTCCGCCTCCTTGCTCATGAACGCCATCATGAAACTGAGGGGGGGGGAGGGAGGGGGGGAGGGGAGGGGGGGCGGAAGGGGGGGTTGGTAGAGGAGGGGCCGAGGGAGCAAAGGAGGGGCAGGGGAAGACTGTTGCGTCGACTCAGCTGTCGCGCTCCAGCTCGGGCTCCTTGCTCATAAAGGCCATCATGAAACTGAGGGGGGGAATGGGGGTGGGGGGGAGGGAGAAGTGGAGGGGTGCGCGGAGACTATTGAGTCGGCTCGGGCTCCTTGCTCGTAAACGCCATCATGAAACTGAGGGTGGGGGAAGGGGGCGGAGGGGGGAAGGCGGGGGACGGAGTAGATGGGGGGTGTAGGGAGACTGGTGAGCCCCTTGAATCAATGGCATCATGAAACTGGGGAGGGAAGAGGGCGGCGACGGGAGGGGGAGGGGGGAGGACAAAGGGGGGACGACGGAGGGAAGAAGGGAAAGTGGAGGAGTGAGGGATTCTTTAATGCTCGCAATATAACGATCCGGCTCTGGCTCACTGACTGACTGACTGACTGACTGACTGACCCACCGACCAACCAGTCAACTGACTGACGGATTGACAGCGACAGAACCCTTTCCCGCCTGCCTCACTTGCGAATGGGTCTGACGAGATCTGCCGCGGCGGGCTGTTTCATCCGTTCCAGAAAGTCGTGGAAAGTCAACGCAGTCGTCGCCGCGGTGAGACTGTCGCCTTCTCCCCGTCCCGCGACCGCACCCGATCCCAGCACCATGCCATCACTGGCCATGGCGCGAAGTTTATCTCGCAAAAAAATGTTAAACTATGCGAGATGCGGGTTAAGAGCAGTCAGACGGAAGTCATAGCGAGAGAAGAGAGGCAGAGTGTACGATGCGGTGCTGGGATTCCAGACAGCGAAATACGGCAAATGCTTTCGAGAAAGATGGGGAAAATTGTAGCAAGGAATCCAGTTGTACTCGTTTGTAGTCTTCGGGGTGGGGGGAGGGCGAGTGAAATCTCTTCGTTAGGGCGTGTCCCACGAGTTCGTTTTCAGCCCATGAATCACTGTTCAGACTGGTGGGTCACGGTTCAAAGCGGTAGAGCAGAAAGACCGCTCTAAATTGCACAAAACCTTTCTCCACCGCATAATTTGAACCAAAAGAGAACTCGTGGCACAGGCCCTTATTCGATCACTATTTCCTCCAAGACCACATGAAAGGGAAACTCGTGTCCTGCTGGATCGTTTCAAATCCCCCACGTGTTGGCACTCTTCAGCAGAAACTAGAAGGTCGACTGGGGTGGGGACACACGAACGCGGTTTCGAAACTCGTTCGGAAGTCCGAGTTGTCCCATTAGGCGAAAGCTGTAACCTGACTGAAGAAAATACTGCTCGTTATCACACTCGCAAAATAATTCGAGTACTTGCGAGAGCAGCCGGTGGTGGCGAAGCATTTCGGGAAAATGCTACCGAGGAGTGTTTAGCCTAAAACCCGAACCGGAACACGGGATTCTGATGTGTTTTGGAAATGAACTCGAGTTTTGAAACTCACTGATCTAGATTCTAGGCCCATCGGCAAGCTGATGCGCCACGCAGCGTGATTGGTCTGCAAGAGAATGACTCTACTGATGGCTTCGTTTGTATCATGCTATCGACACCCTACTTGCCATGCAGCCGAGTTCTCAAGGCCGACACGAGCTTTATACAAAGTTCCGTCGCCAGCGGCACCGAAAGTCCTCGCCATCAGTCGCATTGCTGCTGGCGCCTGCTTCGGCCAAAACTTGCGACCTTCCAAATTCTTACAACTGCAGCTCCCGCGCTTCCTCTTTTGCCCAGTCTACCGCTCCGCCCCCCCGATGTTTTTGCGCAGCCTTGCCAATATCCCGCCTTCCACTCCCAGCCACGCTTGCGCGCCGTCATGTCATGCCATGCCAACCCAAGTCAACTTCCGCATTCCGCGCGGTTCCTTGCAGCCCACGTCACATGAGTCATGTCATATGTCATGCCTCAACCTTCCGCCTCCCCCGTGCCGTTTCGTTCCTCCCTCCCGCCCGTTTCCGCCGAGTCTTCCAAGTTCTTTCTCCCCTTCACCGAACCCAACCCAACCTAACAAACCCATAATTCCGACCCTAGATTGTTTCTGTCAGCTCAGCTTTCTTGTTTCTGCTCATCACAGAACGCTGCTTCTCTCTACTGCTGCTACCCACCACACAACGCAACACCCTCGTTACGGTATGCTCCTTGCCTTCCGGCTCAGTGTGCACGGTTGATGCAACGAACAGCCTCGTTCACGAATTCTTTGTCCGGCCCGATTGGTTGACCAGGTCTGATTGTCCTTAGTCGCGATAGCGTGCAAGTTTCCTTGGTCGTCCTCCACGCAGTCCTAGTCCTTTCTCGTCCTAATCCGTCAACATGCAGTCGGATTGGCGTTCCCCGCCGCTCGCCGTGTCGTACCCCGAAGTCCCTCCCATGCCTCCATCCACTCAGTACACTCCCTCGTACGCGCCTAACTACTCGTCGTATCCGCAACCGCCCGCGCAAACTGCGGATAACAACGCGCCCATGTACATGCAACAACCGCAACCGCAACCGCCCGCCGCTTACTCCCAACAAAACTCCGCGTATCCGCAGTTTTCCGCGCCGCCAGCGCCTCCCCCGCAATTCCCGCAAAGCCACGTGGACGACTACGAGACCGGCGTCGACGTGGTAGCGTACGATGCGGGCGGCGCGGAACCGTACGGCGCGAGAGGAACCGGCAGCGGAGCGTACTGGGGCGACGCACCGCAGGGCTTCGGAGGCGGAGGCGGAGGCGGCGGCGGCGGAGGCGGCGGACACATCGGGAACAGCGCGGGAGGGAGCGGGCCAATCAGCAGTCCCCTCGTTGATATTCAGATGCCGTCGCTTTCCGCGGGTTCGCGGGGAGGCGGCGAAGCGCAGGTGGTGGTGGGGAAGGACGGCGTGCAGAGCTTCGCAGTGACGCTGCTGCCGGAACCGGGGTCGTCCTCGTCGCCCTCGCAGGTGGTCTGTAAGGTACGGCAATTGACCGCAATTTACCCCCTCGTTGCTTGGTACTGCTAAATCGATGGCGTCGATGGTGGTTCCTCCTTTTTCGCTGGAGGCCCGTCCAAGCTGACTCGTAATTCTTGAAATTCTCCGCTGGCCTGTCTGTGGGGTTGGCGCTGGCTTCGTCGCGTCATCACCGAGTGTTTGGCGGTCCTTGTTTCCCGTCGCTGTCGCGTGTGTTTGCGTTTCCTCTCTGTTCGCCCGCCCTTTTCGTCTGCCGTTTGCGTTTCCCCTCCTCTTCTTTCTCCACTCTCCCTCCGCACGCGCCTTTTTTTTTTCTTGTCCTTGTTCGTCTTCTCCTTCTGTCGAATCCTGAAGCCCCTCACACCCCCCCTCCCCCTCTCTCATCCCCCCCTCCGTTCTCATCTCCCCCTCCCCCTCTCTTATCCCCCCCTCCGTTCTCATCTCCCCCTCCCCCTCTCACACCCCCCCTCCCCCTCTCTCATCCCCCCCTCCGTTCTCATCGCCACCTCCCCATCTCGCATCTCCGCTTATCCTCCCATACCCCGCTGGCAGATCGGGTTGGACGGCATGCGACTGCAGGAGCCGGGCAGCGGGCGCCTCATGCTTTTGACTCGACTCAAAAACAGACGCATCCCCGCCTACCCCCCCGCTCTTCCCCCCTACCCCCCCCCCCGTTCTTCCCTCCGAACCCCCCGCGCTTCCCCCCTACCTCCGCGCAGATCGGGTTGGACGGCATGCGACTGCAGGAGCCGGGGAGCGGGCGCCTCATGCGCATCTACCCGCTCGAGAACATCACCAGCTGGGAGGTACGCGCGTGTGTGTGTCTATCACCTAGGACGATTCACAACCATGCGTTGTGAGGCGTCTCAAAAGGCGCCTCATGCGCATCTACCCACTCGAGAACATCACCAGCTGGGAGGTACGCCGCCGCTCGCCCGTCAAGGCCCTTTTCTTCCGTCACGTCGCCATTCTCTTTCTCTTCTGTCGTTTCCCCGTTCCCTCTTACCCCATCGTTCTTTTCCCAACCGATGGCGCGCCCCCATGGGAAGGGACCTTGTCAACGTTCCAGCTTTGCCCTCTCGCAGCAAGAGGAGAATGAGTCCTCCCCACTCGTCTCCTCCTCTCCCCTCTCCTGGCCCCTACCCCCCTCCTCTCCCCTCCCCCTTTCCCGACCCCTGCCGCTCTGCCTTATTCCCCGCAGGTGAAGGAGCCGGGCGTGTTCACGTTTTGGGTGCGCACGGCGGTGGACGCGACCCCTCTCCTTTCTCACAACCCCCCTCCACTCCGCCTCCCCCCCTTCTTGCTCAAAACTCCCCCCTCCCCACCCCCTTTCCCCCCCTGCGCGGCAGGTGAAGGAGCCGGGCGTGTTCACGTTCTGGGTGCGCACGGCGGTGGACGTGAGTCAGCGCCCCGTGCGGCTGCGCTCCAACGACCGCACCACGTCGCTGCTGCTCGACACTCTCACCGCCGCCTGCATCCAGGTGCGCTGCGTGCGCGCTTGTTTGGTGTGGGCGGGGGGCGGGGGGGAAGGGTGGGTGTGGCGGTGGGGTAGGGATGGAATTGGGAGTGGGAGTGCGAGTGGGAGTGGGGTGGGGGGGTAAGGTAAGGGGGCGTCGGAACGATTTGTCGTTTATGTGCAATTGATGTGCCACTCACGGCAGTGATGACGGTGGGGGTGGGCGTGAGGTGGGGGGGAGATGAGGGTTGGGGAGTGTGATGTGCCACTCCACTCACGGCAGTGGTGGCGGTGCTGCTGCCAACCTGTCGTCCAATGCCAGATTCCTTGTCAATCCCAAATTCAACACGAGATTGTTCACTCTGCCTCTCACAACTTCGCCTATTCTCCTTCGTTTCCTCCCCCCTTCCCCTCCCCCTCTTCTCCCCTCTCGACAAGCCTAGTTTTGGGGAGCGTCAAATCTAGACTCCCCGCCTTCTTCCCCATCTCCCCTCCCCCTATCCCTCCCCTCCCCCCTCCCACCAGGTGTTTGAGATGGTGGGTCGTGACAAGCCAGCACCCGATAAGCCCGCGTCTGCCTCAATGCCCTCCTCCGCGCCCTCCGCCGCCACTGCTGCTGCCGCCTCCGCTGCTGCTGCTGCTGCAGGGGGCGCCGCCGGTGCAGGGGCTGTCCCGTCCGTGATGGGGTGGCTCACTCGCCCGCGCCTGCCCGCTGCTGACGAGCGCGTGCACTGGGTGCGTGCATGGGTGGGTGGGTCTGAAGTGGGGGGCGGGTGGGGTTGGGGGTGGGGGGGGGGTTGGGCTGGGCTGGGTTGGGCCAGGGTGGGGTGGGGTGGGTAGGATAGGGTGGGGCCGTGTTGGGGTGGGAAGGGGGGTGTGACAATTCGGTTTGGGCTTGGGCGCCAGTGCAGGCCTAATCGTTCTTTCCCCATCCCTCTCTTGGCACTTCATCTCTCTACCAGGTTCCAGGCGAGGAGGTGCCTAAATGCGCCGCTGACTGCTAATGCGTATGCGCTTTGCAAGTCGTCCTGTCCGAATCGTTTCTTCCCCATCCCTCTCTTGTCGTGGCACATCAATCATCTCTCTACCAGGTGCCAGACGAGGAGGTGCCTAAATGCGCTGACTGCGCGTCTGACTTTGGCACGTTCAACCGCAGGGTATGTTATGTTCCTATTAGGCTATCCCTTTACAATCACTG